GGCCACAGGCTCTATAGTCACCAGGCCGGGCACTGCCTCTTCCTGGTAAAATGGGACATTGTTCTGAGCTGTTCTCGAGTGGGCCCCCAACTCCTGGCGACCCCGTATACAACAGAATGAAATGCCCGTAGGGCCCTGCCCCATCCGACTGGTTGTGGGTCAGCCCACTATGATCCATATGGTGCTCCCTGACTTCTGGAAGTCAGTGTGAATTGGAATGGCATCCCCTAACTCTTAGTGCTGGGGTGAGGTTAGAGGTCACCTCCACGAAGCAACCTGCCCAGGACTGGCCCCTTAGTAGTGTGCACAAAAGGGTAATTACTACTTTTATTAGCGGTTTGGACGACAAAGAATTACACTCTACAATTATAAGCACATGTTCTTTCCTCATTGGTTTCTGGGCCCCGCCTAGATGGGCTAATTACCCATAGCGGAGCCAGAGTGACTGCACAGGCCTGGGCCACAAGGCAGAACTGCATGGCCGATGTTTATCCAAGTAAGCCAGGCCCTCTCTAGCCAGTGCCTTCCTGGGGAAGTGCCAGCGGCCTGACCCAAGGTGTTTCTGGGTAGGTCTACACCCACCTCTCATCGGCAGACCAGTCCGGAGTGGAAAGGGTGTGTGGCAGAGAGAACAGCCTTTGGGGGAAACGAGTGGGCTTTTGTTTTCCACAGTGGAAGAAGGCCAAACTCTAATTCTTATTTTTCAAGTCGTGTCTTCTGCCAAGTTGGCTTCCTCGGCTCTTGCTGAGATGGAAAATTGCACAGGGCTCCTCGCCTCGACTCCCCTCCCCCTCCCCTTTGTGCTAACATGAGACTTGCTTTTGTTCTGCTGACAAGGCAGTCTTGGCAGAAAACTGACCCCTAGGAGAGGGGCCTGTTCTCTCTGGCTTCCTTGCTCTTGGCCTCAGCCTGGAAAAAAAAGCTGAGGAGAGGTGGTTGAGAAGGGATGACCCTGGGGTCTTGAGGCAGAACAGAACTGGGGCCCAGGGGGAGATTCCCAAGCTTCAAGTGGGAGCCCAGAGCAGTGAAAAATGGCCAAGTTCTTGAGAACAGCATTTTCATGAATTCCCTGGGTGGAAAGGGATTACGTAACCATGAAAGCTTTTAAGGGCTTGGGAGAGGGTGGGCTCAACTCTGTGCTGGGAAGTTTTTCCAGAGGTAGTTTTGTCTTTCATCTAGAAAAGTTAGAACTAACTCCTTTCCTTTGCTTTCTTGAAGAAACACCTACATTTAAAGCTCAGTTTGACTTGGATATGCACAGTGATCATAGAAGTATGACCCCCTACATCTGAAACCAAGAATTTCCACAGGAATGTCCTCAGATACTGTTCCTGTCTTTACCAAACACATACTGTATATCAGGGATTCCACCTGGTGAAGCAGGGATCATTGTTACCATTTTACAGATGTGAAAACTGTGACTGAAGGAGGGATGTGCCCACGTGAGGTCACATGGCTGAGTCTGTTAGACTATAATGCACATGCTTGGCACACTGGTGTTTGTCAGTGGCAGCTGGCACACTGGGTTTTCTTCCAGCAAGAGAAAGAAATTCCAGTGTGATCACACACTTTCCCCACCAAGGAACTGAAAATACTAGCTTTTTAAAGTAAATGAGTATCCCGGTGGAGGAGGGCCTGGTAAACACATTTACCCTGTCTCTAAACCCATTTGGACCTACAGCATCTGACTCCAGGCATAAATTTTGGAGCCAATTATATCTATGTGTAAATCCCAGCTCTGCCATTTGTGTAAGGGATTATAATTTCTTTGAGGCTCAAGTTCTTCTTCATCTGTGAAATGGGCATTCCTCTGTGTGGATCATAGCAAACTATGGATAACATATGGAGAATGGATATTCCAGAACACTTAATTGTGATCATGAGGTACCTGTATATCGACCAAGAGGCAGTCCCCAGAACAGAACAGAGAGATACTAAATGGTTTCAAATCAGGAAAGGTGTGAATCGGGGTTGTATCATTTCACCATACCTGTTAAATATGTGGAGTTCTGGTATGGTGCTATAGGATAAATACTTGACCTCAAGGTTGGTTTGAACTGCAAGGTTGGCAGTTCAAACTCACTAGCCATTCCTTGGAAACCCTATACATGGTTGCTATGAGTTGGAACTGACTTAATGTCACTTAATAACAACAACATTAAACCTGTATGCCGAGCAAATAATTAGAGAAGCTAGATTATATGATGAGCAACATAGCATCGGGATTGGAGGAAGACTCATAAACAACCTGTGATATGCAGATGATACAACCTTGGAAACAAAGAAGACTTGAAGTACTTACTGATGAGAAAAGATTATACCTCAATGTAAAGAAAACCAAAATCCTTAGTACTGGACCAATAAATAACATCACAACAAATGGAGAAAAGACTGAAGTTATCAAAGATTTCATTTTACTTGCATCTACCATCAATGATCTTGGAAGCAGCAGTCAAAAAATAATATCAAATGACATATTGCATTAGGCCAATCTACTGCAAAAGATCTCTATAAAGTGTTAAAGAGCAATGATGTATTTTTGAGGACTAAGATGTATCTGACTCAAGCCATGGTATTTTCAATCACCTCATCCATGTCAAAGCTGGATAATGAATAAGTGAGAGAAGATTGATGCATCTGAATTATGGTGTTGGTGAAGAATATTGAGTATAACATGAACTTCCAGAAGAACCAACAAATCTATTTTGGAAGACGTATGATAAAATTGCTCTTCAGCAGCAATGATGGAAAGACTAGGTCTCTTGTATTTTGCACATGTTGTCAGGAGGGACCAGTCCCTGGAGAAAGCCATAATGCTTGGTAAAGTGGAGAGTCAACAAAAAACAGGAAGACCCTCAACACGATGGATTGAAACAGTGCAGCAACAATGGGCTCAAACATAACAATCGTGACGATGGTGCAGGATGGGGCAGAGTTTCCTGCTGACGTATGTGGGGTTGCTATGAGTGGAAACCAACTGGATGGCATCTGACACCACAACAATCCCTTAACTTGCATATATGATAAGACAGCAGTCCTGTGACTTACGTTATACAGTACAATTGACCTTAAAAATAGGAGGACTATCCTGTTATTGCTGTTAGGTGCTGTCAAGTCGATTCCGACCCACAGTGACCCTAATTACAACACAGTGAAACATCTCCTGGTCCTCTACTATCCTTACAACTGCTGCTAGGCTTGAGCCCACTGCTGCTGCCACTGTGCCAATCCAACTTGTTGGGGTTTTCCCTCTTTCTCAGTGACCTACCACTTTACCAAGCATAATGTCCTCCAGGGACTGGTCCTTCCTGATAATATGTTCAAAGTATGAGAGACGAAGTCTGGCTTCTAAGGAGCATTGTGGCTGTACTTCTTCCAACACAAATTTGGACTATTTTAGATTATTCAAACAGGTCCAATCTCCTCACAAGAGTCCTTAAAAGCAAAGAACTTTCTCTGACTGGTGGCAGATGGTAAGTCAGAGATTTGAAGCACAAGAAAAAGTTGATTCCCCGTTGCTGGTTTAAAGATGGAAGGGGGCTTTGCAATGAATGGGGGTGGATACCCTCTAGAAGTTGAAAATAGTTCCTGGGTGACAGAAAGCAAAGAAACAGGGATATCAGTCCTGTTGTGATTGTTGTTAAGTGCCGTTGAATCAGTTCCAACTCATATCAACCTTGTAGAGGATTTCCGCAGATGGGTTGGTGGGTTTGAACCACCAATCTTGTGTTTAGCAGTCCAGTGTTTATCCTATTGCACCATACCAGGAGGGCGGGAAAAATGAGGAAACCCTTCAGTGAGATGTACTACCACATGAGTGGCCACAATGGACTCACACATATCAAAGATGGTGGCGCTGGTACAGGATGGGGCAATGGTTCGTCCAGTGATACCTAAGGTTTCTAGAGTTGACAGAGCAGTAACTAACAACAAAGTATGTGGTAATTTGTTACACAATAAAAAAAAAAAAACTAATACAGTCACCTTAAAAAGAACCCATTGGTACCAAGTTGATTCTGACCCATATAGGATTCTGAGGCTATAAATCTTTATGGGAGAAGAAAGCCTCATCCTTCTTCCATGGAGTATGGCTGGTGGGTTTGAAGAGCCAACCTTGTGGTTAGTAGTCCAGTGTTAACCTACAGTGCAATCAGGTCTCCTTCTCACTTAATAATTCTTGTCGTTGTTAAGTGCCATTGAGTTGGTTCTGACCCATAGAGACCCTACACAGGGTTTCCGAGCAGCAGCTGGTGAGCTTGAACTGCTGACCTTGCAGTTCAAAGCGACTTTGCAGTCCAGCCTATTAACCCACAGCGCCACACTTAATAATGTGTTGTTAAGTACCATCGAGCCAATTCTGACCCATAGTGATCCTGTGTAGGGTTTCCAAGGAACAACTGGTGAGCTTGAACTGCCAACCTTGAGGTTCAAACTGACTTTGCAGTCCAGTGCATTAACCCACAGTGCTACAGCAGGACTCCACACTTAATAATTGTTGTTGTTGTTAAGTGCTGTCGAGTCGGTTCCGACCCATAGCGACCCTGTACAGGGTTTCTGAGGCTGTAAATCTTTACGGGAACAGAAAGCCTCATCTTTCTCCCATGGAGCAGCTGTTAGTTTCAAACTGCTGACCTTAAGGTTTGCAGCTTGATTCATAACCACTACGCTACCAGAGCTCTTTACACTTAATAATAGATGTCATTTATTTAAAACAAAATGAAACAAACAAACAAAAAAAAAACGCAAACTGAAATTATTCCCATTTTAGATATAGGACAAACTGAAGATCCATAAGATGAAGTGATTTACCTGAGGTCATATAGCTAGTAAATGTTGTAGCAACTAACACCAGGGTCCATAATCTTAGTTGCTAGTTTCTAAAAATGACAGAGTTGCTGATCATTGAGACAATGCCTTAAGGGAGAAGTGTCCCAAGAGATCTGGGAACTGTACTGAAGTCCTCAGACCCCAGAGGCTGAGTACACACACATCTCACCTACCTGGTAGAAAAGGAATGATCCGCTGCTTAGGGTCCTTCTGTCCTCCTTCCATAGGAAATTTGTCCAACATTTGCATCTAAATGGGGAAGAATAATAAAAACAAAACAAAAAAAGCCTTTAGTGGTATAATAAATGCCCCTTTGACATTCTGAAGGGATTATGTGACATATGTGATGTGCTATACAAAAATGTACTTTGTTCAGAAATTCAAACGAATTGAGAAGGCAATTTCAACTGGGCCTAAGATTTTCATGAAAACAATTCTTTTTATCCAGCTGCCAGATCTGTGAATGTTCAGGGTTGGGAGAGACTCTTCTCAGTTTTCCCAGAGGTCTCCAGTCACACCATCTAAAATTTGAACAATACACTCAGGTCCACCAGAATTTCATGGATGACAATCACTTGGTTCTATAAGATGTGCTATATTATGTTAAGGAACAAATCACTAAAAGAAAGCAGAACAACCACCACAACAAAACAGTTGCTAACACACGAGCCACTACAGGATGAAAAGCAAGAGATGGTGGTGGTAGTCTTTTGTAATTCTATGCAAGTCACTGATTGGCTTTTGGTTGCCTTGGGGTCCGCATAAACATTCTAGAAAGATGTGTCTGTTTGGCTCAGACCAACTACCCAAAGGAGAGTCAGTTGTGAGTTATTGTTCATCCTTATCAAAGAAGCTAAAGTGTATGGTTGTTGTCAGTTGCCATGGAGTCAATTCCAACCCCTGCTGACCCCATGTGTGCAGAACAGAACTGTGCTCCACTGGGTTTTCAATGGCTGAGTCTTTAGAAGTAGATCAGTCCTTTTTTTTTCGAGAAACGGACTTTCAGAAATGGACTTCTAGGATCATCTTACAAGGCATTCCAGGTGGGCTCAATCCATCAATCTCAGTTGCGTAATCATCTGCATCAACAAGGGACTCAAACCATGTTTGATGATCTTGGCCAAGTACCAATCACATCCATATAGGAATATACTCTCTAAATTCAGAACAGTCATTAATTACAGAACATATAGACAGAAATATGGTTGGAGATGGAGTATCTCATTTCATGCTTTCATGTATCAGTTACAACAAAACAAAAAACCAGTTGCTACCAAACTGATTTAAATACATGGCGACCCCATGTGTGTCAGAGTAAACTGTGCTCCATAGGGTATTCAAGGCAGTGACCTTGAAAGGTCTGTCTCAGTTTCTGAGGTACTTTTGGGTAAGTGCTTAACTGTTTGTGCCATTCCACCCAAGAACTCCTGATCAAATCACTGAGGCTCAATCTGGTTGGCTCTATGCCGGTAGGATCATTATACTCACCTGTTTGCAATAAGAATTCCCCATGTTGAATCAAAGATGGCTTTGTGCCTGACTTGGAGCTAGACTCATGGGATACAACAACGAAGACTTTACAGGGGAGAATGAGAAATAAATAGTTAATTACAGGAGCTCCAGTGGTGTTGTGGTTACATACTGAGCCACGAACAGAAAGGTCAACGATTTGAACTCACCAGTCACACCGAGGGAGAAAGATGAGGCAGTGTGTTCCCGTGAAGATTTTTACTTATTTATTTAAGTTTTTATTGTGAATTGAGTGATAGTTTACATTGGTTTTTATAACTTCCCCATTTTAGGTAGCCAATGTCTAACTTGCCCGTCCCTATCAACCCTGTATAGATGTATAGAGAGGGGATAGGATTGATACTTGATGTGAAGACTCCTTCCCTCTCAGTTGGTATTTTGAGCTACTACATCCATAAATACAGGTCAAGTTCATCAAACTGTAGCAGTTTATACTTGTTTCCTTTA